GTGAAAGAAATGGAAAGTCCAATGTGACAATAAAAATGAAACAGACGGGTAATTCCCACGGCAAGCACGCGGGAAAGAGGCGCTGGTGCGGATTTCTTTCCAGGGCGCTCTGGTGTTAACTGTCGAAACGAAAATCCATGTACCTCTTCATCTGGCAACGTCTCCTCTACTAGGGAACCACCCTACAGATAGATACACCCGAGGCAAAAGTCAATAAATGAGAATGTTATGGAAACATTGTTTACAAAAGCACTGAGTTGGAAACAATTCAAATGGCCTTTCCATAAGCGATTGGCCAACTGTGTTCTAGAATGGGGCTCGGCAAGTTTTTTCTTAAAGGGCCAGATAGTATTTTAGGCTTTCTGGGCCAAGAGGCAGCAATATAGACTTTAAGTATGAAGACAGGTAGCTTTGGTCTCAGGTCTAGAATATCCCCACGATGAAGCGCTATCCGGAGTATGATGAGGTATGTCTGAATATTAATTGTGCGAACAAGCCCTAATGCATACATTTTGAAAAGTCAGAGAGACAGCAGGATACAAAATCAACACACAAATATCACTTGTGTTTCTACACACTAACAAAGAACAATGCGAAAAGGAAATTAAGAGAATAATTTCATTTACAGTAGCATCAGGAAGGAATCAAATACTTAGGAATTAACTTACCCCAGGAGGTGAAAGTCTGGCTACTGGAAAGTATAAACCATTGCTAAGAGGAATTAAAGAAGACACAATAAATGTTAAGACGTTTCATGTTCAAGGATTAGAAGTCTTAAAGTCATCAGGATATCACCCACAGTGATCTACAGAGTCAGTGTAATCCCCATCAAACTACTAATGGTATATTTTTTTTGCAGAAATAGAAAATTCATCCTTAAATTAATATAGAATTTCAGGGGACTCCAAATAGCTGAAACAATCTCGAGAGGAAAAAAAAACAAAGTTGGAGGATTCGTACTTCATGGTTTCAAAACTTACTTCCAAAGCTACAATAATCCAAACTGTGCGGTCCTGGCATAGAGACAAACATGTAAGCCACCGGAATAGAATAGACAGCCCAGACATAAACCTCATCTGTAGGGGCAAATGATTTTTGACAAGGGTGCTGACACCGCACCATGGGAAAAGGACAAGCTTTTCAACAAACGGTGCTGGGACAACCTTTCAACAAGGAAGATGCACAAATGGCCAATGAACACATGAAACAATGCTCAGCATCACTAATCATTAGGGAAATGCAAATCAAAGCTCCAATGAAATACGATCTTACACCTATAAGGATGGTTACTACCCCAACCCCCCCCCAAAAAAAACCCCAGAAAATAACAAGTGTTGGTGAGGATGTGGAGAAACTGGAAGGCTTGTGCACTGCTGGAGGGAATGTAAAATGGAGCAGCTGCTGTGGAGAACAGTATGGAGGTTCCTCAAAAGCTGAAAAATCAAATTGCTGTATGATCTCAAATTCCACTTCTGGGTATACATCTAAAAGAATTAAAAGCAAGGTCTTGGAGAGATTTTTATACACTCGTGTTCGCAGCAGTATTATCCACAGTAGCCAAAAGGCTGAAGCAACCCAAGTGTCCGCTGACAGATGAATGGACAAACAAGACGTGAGCTATACGTACAATGGAACTTATTCAGCCTGGAAAAGAAATGACATTCTAACACACACTACAACATAGAAGATGTTATTCGACTGAAACTTGAAGACATTATTTGAAGTAAAATAAGACAGACACAAACAGACAAATATTGTATGATTTCACTTGTATGAGGCAGCTGAAACAGTCAAGTTCATAGAGATAGAAAGTAGAATGGTGGCCACCAGGGGTGGCGGAGGGAGGTATAGGGAGTTACTGTTTAACGGGTACAGGTTTCAATTGGGGTGATGAAAGAATTGTGCACAGAGACAGCGATTATGGTTTTATAACACTGTGACTGTCCTTAGTCTCAGTGAGCCATATACTTAAAAGCTGTTAAAATGGTAAATTTTATATTCTGTATATTTTATCAGAATAAAGAGAATATTATTAAAAGTTTTTAAAAAGCGAAGGATATAATAATGAGCTGCCATTTGTGCTGATTTATGTGTGCACATGTGTGTGCAAAGGAAATTGGTGGGTTTCTGGGATGACAGGGAGCCTTACTTTTTTAATGAAAACACTGGACCCAGAAAGAAATATTTGCCATAAGACTATAAAGAGTTTTCAATACTCATTGATCATCAAAATCCCTTTTGCCACACCAGACTTGTATTTCCTAGTCTGCTCCTGGCACCAGTCACACCGTACCCATGGTCAGAGCCAACACTAGTCTGTTCAGCACCTTTGTGTCATTAGAATAAGGCAACCATCCCTCTTGGTGGAGATGACACCACAGGCATGCAGCTTCGAGAGCAGAGGAGGATGGATTTCAGCCCCATTAAGCCTTCATCTGAGTGTCTTTTTTTGCAGTGCACAACATGCACAACTGTTCATGGTGGCCTTGCCTGGAGTCACTTTTTCCCTACTTGACCAGTGTTACTATTCATAGACCAAGAAGGAACATATAGCAACTTTGTTAAAAATACAATTTCTTTAAAAATAAATGTTTCTTTGAAAAGCATACAAAAGGTCAAAAAAGGGAACATTCCACTCTTTTCTATTGTTTCGTTGATACACTACAAAAGGCACCACCCAAATTTTGTGCTAATTGTTGGTTACTGTGATTTTCATAACCATAGTGATTTATAAAACTTTCTGGTTACTGGAAATTTGCTTTTTTTTCTCTCAGAAGGTCCTAATTGTTTAGATAGTTGGGAAAAATCTCTTGTTCTGTGTTTCTTCCCATCAGTTGGGTCCCTGTAACTGAAGCATTAAGGGATGCGGTCTTTCTGGGTGTGATCTGAAGACTTCAGTGCATGAATGTGAGGCCAGGAGAAGTCATAGGGTCAACATGACATCTGATTTCAGGTAAACAAAATTCACACCAAGTGGTTTTTATATATATATTTTTTAAAACAAAGTATTTTATAAGCCACATCACCCCTGCAAGGAATATGTAATACTTATGAGCCAGGAGTTTGTTTATACAAATCTGGAAAACCAAAACAACCTGGAAATACCAAGTCAGTGAGAGCAAAGCAAGAAGGAAAGTCTTAGTTACCCTGACAGTGTTTCCAGAGACACACAAGTTTGCATCTCCCGATGACCCTGAGTCCATGATAAACAGGTGCTTTGTAAAACCAGACCATTCTGAACCTAAAGGTAAACCTTTTTCTATGAAACATAAAATAGACCTACTTTCAAATGTATTTTGTTCTTTAAAAAGTTTTGTTTATACTTAGAGAAAAATGCATCACTGACCCTTACTCAGATTCTCCTAACGTTACTATCTAGCACAACCATGTAACATTAAGGAACGGTCATGTGTACAATCCTGTTAACCAATCTGCAGGCTTTACCTGGACTTCTAACAGGTTTCCCGCCACTACGTTTGGATGTCATGTAACCGTAATCTCCTCGAATCTGTGACAGTTCCTGTCTCCCCTTGACTTTCATGACCTGGGCAGTATTTAAGAGTACTGCTCACTTATTTGTAGAGTATCCTTCAGTTTGGGTTTGTCTCAGCATCCAATGCAGGTGGTGCGTTCCCCAGGAACCCTGGTGGGGCTGTGCCCTTTCACCAGTGCAGGTTTCAGGGGAGAAATGTGGTGATGTTAGCTTTTTATAGTGATGTTGCCTTTGATCCCTTGGTTTTGGTGCTGTCTCCTGGATTTGTGCACCATAAAATTACTATTTTTCCCTTTGTAATTAATAAACATCTTGGGGGAGGTATCTGAGACTGCAAATATTCTGACTTTCTTCAAACTTCTGTTGACTACTTTAGCATTCATCAGTGGCTCTGACAAATGCTGGGTTTTCTAAAGGTGATTTTCTGTTTTCCTCTTTCTACATTTATTAATTAGAATTTCTCTGTCAGGAAGAGCTGTCTTTTCTCCCTTATTTGCTTAATTGATTTTTAAAAATGTATTTACTTATATCAGGTATGTACTAGCGGGTGTTTATTTTATTCTATGGGTTATAACCCAACACTATTGTTATTTATTCAGTGCTTCAATTTTTCAGCTTTGGCCATTTGTCAGGCTGTTTCCTGAGCCTTTTGACGTGTCCCCGTCCTTTTCAAATACTTCCTTTCTTACTGATACAAGACGCTTCAGGCTCTTCATAGCAGCATTATTTACAATTGCCAAGCTAGGGAAGCAACCTAAGTGCCCATCAACAGATGACTGGGTAAAGAAGATGTGGGGCTAGACAGATACATAGATACACACGATGGAACACTACTCAGCCATTCAAAGGAATGAAATGCTGCCATTTGCAACAATTTAGATCAACTTGGAGGGTATTGTGCTTCGTGAAACAAGACAGGGAAAGACAAATACTCTATTACATCACTTCTATGTGGAATCTAAAAAATAAAACAAACTAGTGAATAAAGCAAAAAAGAAACAAACTCAGAGATACAGAGAAGAAAGTAGTGGTTACCAGTGGGGAAAGAGAAGGGGGAGGGGCAAAAAAGAGGAGGAGGATAAAAAGGTACAGAGTACTATGTATACAGTAACCAAGCTACAAGGGTATACTGTGTAACACAGGGGTGTACAATTCAGCTAATATTTGATAATAACTATAAATGGAGTATAATCTTTAAAAATTGTGAGTCACCATGTTGTATATCGGAAATTTACAAAATATCGTAAATTAACGATGCCTCAATTGAAAAAAAAAACTAGTTCAGGCTCATCTTGTACTTTCCCTGGCCCAGCTGTGGAAAAGAAGCCCCGTGATGTTGCTGTCTAATTAATCATGAATAAAACAAAATATAACCACGATATGTGCAGCATAGGACTAAAATCAAACCCCAGACCTCCACATCACCACCATTTAGAAACACTGTAACTAGTTTAGATACTATAGTCTTGTTTTATTGTTGTTCATGTAAGTAATATCTAGAACAGCACACAACACACAGTAGGTCACAACATAATATCTCAGAGGATGCATGTGTCACAAACACACTTTTCTTTTTTAGCCTCAGAAGAGTTATCCACTTGGCTGAATTTGGGTTTCTCTTCTTTCAGACACGGGAGAAAACAAATGTATCGCATCTCTTCTCAGCCCAGGTCTTATGCTCAGAACAGCCCTCAATTCCAGACCTTAACTGCAGAACCCAGGATGGAGAATGTAAGGGAAAAGATGGCAGGACACAGTAGGGATTCAAGTGAAAGTCCAAAAGTCACCACCTCCAGAGGGCCTCTGAGCCTGCCGGCCCGTTTTTCAGGTTGTTATTGATGTTGTTGCTGTTTCCCCCTGAATCTGCTGATTCTCAGCACCAGCAATTGTTTAAATCTTGATGAGAAAGAGCAAGAAAGCAACATAAGCAAACAGAAGAGTTTTTCTCTGCAAACACTGCCTGGATATGCTGGCTCTGGCATCCAGCCCAGAAAAACACAGAGGCTCTAAGGATCATCACAGTCAGCCAGGCCCTGCCACCCTTCAGCTCAGAGTTTTCTATTTTGCAGGCGGGGCTGAAGAAGTTAGAGGGTGGTTGAATCTCAGTCCCAAGGACCCTCAGCTCTGCCTCCCATGCACTTTCAACCTGTCTGAAGCATGAGACAGGGTACTGCCGGGCACACCTCCCTGGGAGCCAGCTGAAAAGCGAGGTGGTATCCAAGAGCAAGCAAAGCAAATTAAAAAACAGAAGACTGAGGTTCAAGAACCGTCTCCATGAGTCAGCTTTGGGCTCAGCGAGGGTGCAAAACCAGGCTGATGCAAAGACACCACTTACTTCCTAGGTTCCTGAAATTGATATTTTTTGGTCCTGTTGGCTGATCAGAAGTCCCATAGCAATGATGGGAATTCTGAGAATCAGGCCAGATTTAGAGCTGACTTAAACCTGCGGCTTCTGGCATAGATTATTTCCTCAGCATTGAGAAAGCCTGCTGCGAAAGAAGTATTAATTTTTTTTTAAGGAATAGAACTCTTGTGTTTCCATCTCTATAATCTTTTGTGTCTTCATTTCCAAGAAGCTGGAAATCAGATAAGAAGAATGTATTGAAACCACTGGAAGTGCGAACAGCGGATATGGATTAAATTGTGTTCCCCCAAAAAAGATGTGCTGGGGTCCTCACCACACCCTACTCTGTACCTCAGAATGTGGCCTTATTCAGAAATAGAGTCTTTGCAGATTTAACCAAGTTAAGATGAGGTCCCTGTAAAAGGGGAAACTTTGGATTTAGACACATAGAGAGGGACAGTGACGTGAAGACTCAGGGAGGGTGCCCTGTGGAGGAGGAGGACTAGAGTGACAGGGCTACGAGCCGGAAGCTCCCGGAAGCCGGGACAGAGGCGGGGAACGGTCCCTCCCCTAGAGCTTCATGGACAGCGTGGCCCTGCCGACGCCTTCGTTTTGGACGTCTGGCCTCCAGAACCGGGAGAGATCAGTTTCTGCTGTTTGAAGCCGCCCAGTGTGTGGTGCTTTGTTACAGCAGCCCCAGGACATGAATGCAGCGGTGCCAGAAGGCGGCAAGCTCACTGCTGTGAGGCTGTATTTGAGGACTGCGTGAGAGTCATGTGTTTCCCCAGCGAGTTCTCAAGAAGCAGCCAGGGAGACACGCACGCGTGTGCACATTCCCTGGGTGTGTGATTTGTTAGCTGTGTGACCTTGGACGAGCTCCTAAACCTCTCTGAAGGTCTTGATTCATCCTTAGAATGAGGGCAGTGAACCTCTGAGGGCACCTTAAGGATTAAACAAGGTGTTTTTAAAATGATCTCTCATGGGGCCTCACGCATGGTAGTCTTTCAAACACCTTTGCTAACCAACGGGAAAGACGACCCCCCCTTCTCGGGGGAAGGCTGGTGTTGGCTGAGAGCCCACTGTCTATTCAGTAGGTGACATCAGTAAGTGTAGGAGCGCCCGGCAGGGCTCCGCCCAGATCCCTCTGGGTCCCTTTAACTATTTCTGATGTCGGCTCTGGAATGTGCCTCCAGGTTCACACCCGAGGCTCTTCACTGGAAGACTGCTCCTGGGTTATAGGAGCCACTTTTGCCAGGTGGTAAAAAGTCAGTAGATGTGCCTGGGAGTTAATACTCCCCACTGAGTGCAGCCCTTGAACGAGCCCTGGAGGATGCCACAATTCCTTTGTTTCAAATCAGGGAAACTCATAACTTACACTCTTGAGTTCCCCCAGGATGAAGCCAGTGGACTTAACTTGAAAGCCCAGAATGGCTTTGCCCTCTCTGATCTGCTTCTTACTCCCACACCGGTCTTCCCAGCGAGCACATCCTTAGTGAATCACTGACACGCAAGCCCTCAATCCAGAGTCTGCTTCTGGGGCACCTGGCCCAAGAGAGTAAGCTTCAGAACAGCTCATGCAGAAAAGACTGAAATTCTGACGGTCAGAACTAGAAGCACTGACCGGCTCCTGCACCCCCATCATTCACTGTTTTAACAGCTACAAAAATCAGACTAGCGACCACTTACTCATACGCTAATATCTGCATTATGTTCAGCTCTAATCCTTGTCATCAACCTATAAGATAGATTCATTCTTTGTGGCAGTTTTTGGAATGTATTTATCTTACAGTATAATATTTAAAAAATTGAATTATAGTTGATGTACAATATTATGTTACAAGCTTACAGTATAGTAATGCACAATTTTTAAAGGCTGTATTCCATTTACAGTTACTATAAAATACTGGCCATATTCCCCATGCTGTACAGCACATCCTTGTGGCTTATTTCATACCTGATAGTTTGTACCTCTTAATCTTCCACCTCCATCTTGTCCCCCCACCCCCACCCCGTCCCCTACTGGTAACAACTTATTTCTTCTCTACATCGTGAGTCTGTTTCTTTTCTGTTATATTCAGACTCCACATGTAAGTGATCTCTTACAGTGTTTGTCTTTCTCTGTCTGACTTATTTCACTTAGCATAACGCCCTCCAAGTCCAGCCATGCGGTACGCCAGAAACTAATACAACATTTTAAATCAGCTGTACTTCAATTAAAAAGCAAGCAAACAAACAAACAACCCATTTAAAATATGGGCAGAAGAACTGAATAGACATTTTTCCAGAAGAGGAAATGCAGATGGCCCACAGGAGCATGAAAAGCTGCTCAGCATCACTAATACCAGGGAAATGCAGATCAGAATCACAGTGAGACACCATCTCACACCTGTCAGAATGGCCGTCATCAAAAAGGACACAAGTAACAAATGTCGGTGAGGATGTGCAGAAACCTTTGTGGCAGTTTTTTTAGAACAGCTGCACATGTCTGACTCTCTATTAAGATCTTTTGTTCTCTCCCCTTAATCCTACCACGTTTGGAGAAACCGGCTCTGTTTTGATAACTTGTTCCTTAGTTCCCTTAACCGGGTGAGGGCATCCAGCCGTGGGGGCTGATTAAACGTCAGTTGCACCTCTAGTGGGCTGCACGTGGTTAGGTCTTGCTTTTACATTTCTAGCTGGTTCTAAATAACTACCTAAAGATTGAGCCTTTTCTGTTACTTTGAATTAATATTCCTATTTGCCATGGTTTGTGCTTCGATTTGAAAACTCAGCTCTGAATAAAGCATTTGCAGCCGTCTTTTTGACTTACTCCTTTTCAGACGGTTGTGTCGGCCTTTGGCGGGCTGTGGAATCCACGAGTCCGTCAACTGCTCCTGCCAGTGCACGTGAACACTTAGCACAGCCCGCTCTGCCGAGGTGGTGCCGGCGTCACTGCCTGCACTCTTTCCCCCAGGGTGAGCGACTCTCTGCAGGGAGGACAGGTGCGGGGTTGGGATCCAAACCTCCCAGGGGGGTTGGGTGGTGCCGGCTCTGAATCCAGAGACTGGTTCTGTTCCCAGACTTTGAAGGCAGACTGCCTAGATCAAATGCTGACTCCTCCTCCACTGACCTCCTGTGCCTACCTCCGCACCAATAAGGTGGAGATGCTAACGGTGCCTACTTCCCAAGGCGGCTGGGAAGAAGTAGGCGGTATACGTCAGAGTGCAGAATAGTGCCTGGCACGGAGTGGTCACTCAGTAGGTGGTACCCACGATTACCTGCAGCCAGCAGCACTGACTTGGATGCAGGGACTAAGACAGGGACAGCTTCTATTCTTCTTCTCCTCCCACTCCCTCTCCTCCTCCTCCTCCTTCGTCACACTGCTGCTGTGTCTGCTGGAGACAGAAGTTTGTCCGGGTGAAATAACTCCAGGGTCACGTGCTCGTGGACGACTACAGTAACAGAATCAGGTCCCAGACTCAGGTGTTTGACCCCCATGCCGTGCCTTTCTCTGCAGCCCGGGGCACTGGAGTGGAGCGCGCCAGACAGCGGCCAGGAAGCGAGGGCCCGTCCAGGGTTTCGCTGGGATCGCCTTGTTCATTTCCTCACATGGCCTCTCTCTGTTTCTTCATTTTCTGACATAATTCAGAACTCCCGGGCCCCACCAGCAAAGGTGGGGAGGTCATCAAGCTACATCAAATACACTGTTAATGAAATCCAATTAATCCATTTTCCCTTTATGGTTAATGTGTTTGTTTTGTTTTTACTGCAGCATGTTGGCCTTGCCCATAGTTAGTTCCCAAAGAAGTTGTGATGAATGGATGGATGGATGGATAGACGGATGGACGGATGGACGGATGGAGGAATGGATGGACCCAGAGGCTCCAGGCTGTTCTGCTGCTCAGTGAGGCGGTCTTGCCTCGGCCTGGCCTTCCCTCTCAAAAAGCCGCTTGGACTGGAAATCAAGGCCAAATGGTGAATGTTCTTTGCCTGTCTCAAGATGCTCTTCTTGAAGCTTTATTTTTTTGCCTTTACATTTATGTCTTCACTCCAGCTTGCGTCGATTTTTGTGCATTTGTCTGCAAACTGCTGTGTGTGCAGGTCTCCCCTGCCCTAACTGCACTGCTGTGTGAGAACTGGAATGTGAAGAACTGGGGAAAATGCTGGTATTCTGGTGACCGCCATCACTGAGAATAAACTACCTTTCACCCCTGACCCAGAAGACACATGTCTCCTGCCAGCCTCCAGGAAACTGGATGGCTCACTTTGTAACTTGGAAAGAGGATAGCACCTCAGACCTTCACGGGCTTGGACACTGATGTGCGAGAAGACTGTTTCTGGGAACGTGAGTTTGGGGACGGCTTGCTGCACAGCATGACTGTGGCTGTGTTACCAGAGCTGGGCAGACCTCGTCCAGGGCTGGCACTGCTTTCAAGCTCTTGGTACATATTGCCAATTTGCCTTCCGGAAAGGTACACTTGCACAATGTACACTGGCACCCCGCAGTGATATCTGAGCGGATTTTTTCCTGCCGAAACGCTAAGGTCTTCTGTCCTCCTCCCCCCGCACGCCTCCCCTCATGTAAGCTTTGCCTTTGTGCTGGTTTTTCTGGCAGCAGGAGCTGGGAGATGGGGCGAAGCCATCCAAGCCTGTGAAGGCGGTGGCCTGTTAAGTGAGCGTGTGGCCTCTGTGCCAAGTGGGTCTGTCCCCAGGAAGAACAGGGAGTCTCGGCAAGGCCCTGAGCGATATCCCAGTGAACCCAAGGCGTGCGAAGACCAACCTCAGATTTAAACAATAAATTAGTCTCATGATCTACTCTCTGGCGCCTTCCTGACTAATGTCCAAGGCAAGCTTGGTGGCACATGTGGAAGGGAATGGCAGGCCTGCCAGAGGTGAGCCCAAGGCCAACACTTAATCACCCTCTTCAACAGGACTGTTCTGTGACCGTGCCCTTTGTGGTTGGAAGGAGCCAGCTGTCCCCGTGGGTGGAACCTTAATTCCCAGAGAGCGTGCCTGCTCCTCCCCCCTCACCTTGTCCCCACCCTTAGAGGTGATATATTTAAACCCACCCACTTACCCTCAAAATAGGGCCACCAAAGGCTTGGCCCGCAGGGGCTCCCGAGGACCAGGACAAAGGCCGAGGAAACCTTTGGGAGTCACGGAGGTTCGCGCAGAGAGGGCAGTTGAGGGACTTAAACGTGCAACATTCACAGAAACCACTTTTCCCAGGTCAGCGCAGTTTGCGCTGAAGATACAGCAAACCCTTGTTCATGCTGGTTTGAGAAAACTCAGGACAGAGGTCGGTAAACTCACTCTAGAAAAGGCCAGAGAGTAAATGTTTTAGGCTCGTGGGTCTCTGCTGCGAGCACTCAGATCTGCGGCGTGAAAGGAGCCTTAGGCAGCGCGCAAGTCAATGAGTGTGGCTGTGAGCCAAGGAGCCCTTACCTACAAAATCTGGTGCGGGGTTGCCGACTCCGACTCAGGAGCTGATGGTCAAAAACCAGGGCTAGGCCTTGCCCTCAGCGGCTCAGGTGGAAAATTACTTTTTTTTAATGTCTTCATTTAACAAACACATGAATAGCCTCAATATATCCTAGACATTTGGAAGCGCTTTATAAATACTGACGCGCTCAGTGATCACAGTGTCCCTCTGAGGCAAGTGCTATTACTCTCCCTGGCTTGGAACAGAGAGGCTAGGCAAGTTGCCCCAGGTCACACTGTGGTAAGCGAGGGCGTAGGACTGCGTGCAGGCAGCCTGCGCTCTGACCCGCCGCCCTGCGCTGTGCGGAGGCAGGCTGGCCTTCATGGAAGGAACGTCCACTGGGTGCCCTGCTCCGTGTTAGCCCGGAGGTCAGGGGAACGGGGACAGAGCTGACTAAGACCCATTCTCTGCCAGGGGAGAGACTGGTGCAGGTTAACAGCGAGCCCAACCCCAGAAAGGATGCGACGCAGGATGCTTCCAACCGTCGGAAAGTCGGGAACTGGCAACACCCGTCCGGGGGATAAAGGTCAGACAAGGGGTGGCCTCAGAGGGCAAGGACCAGGGGGAGCCGTCCTGCGGGACTGGAAAGGGCGCTGTCTTCCGCTGGGCATCCCATACAGCTTGGTAAAAAAGTCCTCAAGCTGACCCAATAAAATACACAAGCAGGTGGGGGTGAGGCTGCTGCTCCCCGAGGCCCCAGCTGGGAGGCCATCACAGCAACCCCTGTGGGTGCCGGGGGGGGGTCCCTCGGCCCCAATCCCACCTCCTGAGTTCTAAGGGGAGGAAGTGGTGCTACGAACAAGGGCCTGACGAGCTGTGAGCCGGGGGCAAGACTGATGGCCCCGGTTGGCAGGCAGCCCCAGGTGGCTGGGGGCAGATTCCGGACCAGAGTCAAGACCTTTCCCACAAACCCCCTTGGACGGGCTGGGACACCTGACATGCAGCCTGGTCACAGGGTGGGATCCACAGTGGAGGCACCCAGGTGAGCCACCAAGGGGGACAGAGGCCTGTATGGGCCCTCAGCCAGGACTTGGGCCTGCGGACGGTGCCCTGACCTCGCCCGGGGCCCCATGAGGAGGCTCAGGCTGTAAACGCCTTGAAGATAAGAGTCCTCCAGGGAATCCCAGGGCCTCGCACAGGGCTAGAGCCTTGGAAAACAGTCAGCCGACAGCCTGGCACTGCACACAACCCACTAGCATTCACTCTGCACTCTCCCTCCTCTGAAGGAGGGAAAATCTGCACCCACGCCCCAGGTCAGAGGTCCAGAGTCACGCACGTCTCCCTGCTTGGAAAGGCTGTCTCATCCCAGTGTGGACCCCACACCCTAGGCCTTCAGTCTGAAGGTCCCAAGAAAGGCCAGCTAGAGGCGGAGATTTCTCTATTTCCTGCCTCTCAACTTCAGCGAAACCCAAGCAGGGATGAGGTGAGAGCTGTCCTCAGCCCTCTCCCATCACCTACCGGCCAACAACCCACCCACCCGTACAACTGCCCAACCGTCTGCCAAGCCATCGGTCCGCAAAGCCCCGCACACCGCCTCCTCCTTCCACCAGGCACCTCTCCTCCGAGGGGCTCCGGGTCTTTGGAGATGATTTTCTCCTTGAGGTTGACTGTGCGTGCCAGGGATTTTCAGAGATGGCGAGATCATTAAGGGTGGTCTCACAGTCAGGAAGGCTTCACAGACACGGACACACGGGAGAGGGGGCTGAACGTTTAGGTGCCGGTGTCTGCCTGCCCAGGGTCCGATCCACCCACCACCTGCTGGCTTTGTGAGCTTGGGTGATTTTAAGGAACGTCTGGGTTCCTCACTCATCTGACCTACAAAAGTATGTTAGGTAAACTCCCACAATGGCCACAGACCTTCATGCCTACAGTCCACGCTCTGGGCAATGAATGGATGGGCGCCTGCAGCTCCTCCCACCCTGATGGAGCTACAGTCCTCCCTCCTGAATCCGGGCTGAGCTTCTGACTTGCTTCAGCTGACAGGATGTGGCAGAAGTGATGCTAGCCAGTTCTGGGGGAGCCCTCAGCCAGCCTGGGCTTCCTGTCTCTCTCCTGTCTCCTCACCTGTCTCCCACTCTCACCCCCACCCCACCATGTAAACAAGCCCCAAGCTAGCCTGTTGGAGGAGGAGACACTACATGGGCCAAAACCTCCATTGCTCCAGCCAGCAGCCAGCCAACTCCCAGAAGCCGAGCTGACCTGCAGGTGACCACGGCCCCATGAGGGAGCCCAGCCGAAATCATTCACTCACGGAATCAGAAGCGAATAATTGGTGGCTGTTTTGGGCTGCTAAGTTTTGGGGTGGTTTTATGCAGAACTACTGTGGCCACAGGGGAAGGGTGCAATAGGATCACACGACTCTTGCACCTCAAGCTGAGGAGGGAGTTCAGCGAGAGGCTCTATCTAAAAGTGCTTAATGAATGTTAACTGTCTTTCTCGGTGTGAGACACGGTGTCCCTTGTGAAGATCAAAAGTATGATCTCAACCAAATTACTTGTGCCTGAAGACTCCACTGGCGCTCCAACCAGCCACCTGTGGGCCATATGTGGCCCCACCTACAGAAGCCTGGGCTGTGCCTGAAAGTTCTAGCAAAACCTTTTTGAAGTTCTGTAATCCGCAGGTGCATGAAGTAGCCAAGGAGGGAGGTGCAGAGTCTGGCTGACACGTGGGAATGCTGGGTTCACGGGCCACAAGGCTGGCTGCAAGGGTCTCTACATGCCCTAAGAGAAGTGCGGTGTGGCCAGCTGCCCAGCGGCCAGCCCGCCCTCCCCGGACGTGGGGTGTGAGCAGATGGCCTCTGGAGACCGGGCGTACGCCCGCTGTGTGACAGATTTGAACATGATGGATCTCAAAGCGTTTGTGGTGCTACTTGACTCCAACTGAAGTTCTAATTTCAGAAGTGAGTCATATAAGCTCTGAGGATCCAGTACACAGTGTTGTGAATATAGTTGGCAATACTGTATTATATACTTGAAAGTTGCTAAGAGAGATCTTAAATGATTTCACCTCAAAAAATGGTAATTATGTGACGAGATGGAGGGGTTGGCTAGCTAATGCTATGGTGGTAATCATTTTGCAGTACGTGTGTCAAATCACCACGTGGTGCATCTTAAATTTACACAACGTTATATGTCAATCATATCTCAATAAAGCTGGAAAAAATAGTAATCAACCCCTTCCAACCCCACAAAAAAAAAGAAGTGAGTTACAGATTCGGCGCCATGCCATGGGTTAGACACAGAAGGATGGGTTCTGCTGCCTTGTTCGTGGTGACAGAAAACTGGAAACTGCCCGAATATTGAACCACAGGGGAAGAGCTGAAGAAACAATGATTCTTGTACACCTATGGGATATGATGCATCTCTGCTTAAAAGTAAATTAAACAGATGTCTTTTGACCTGGAAGGATATTTATGATATAGTGTTAAGAGAGAAAACCAAGTTGCACAATAATTAACACACGGAGAAGAATCCCATTTTAATACAACAACATCTCATCTAAGTGCATAAAAATTAGGACACGTTTGCATGGGTTTGGAGAGTGTACGGAGGGATACACAACCTGGAGGAGTGGAGCTGGGTAGATTCTTAGCTTTTCTTTTCTTTTTTATTCGAAGATCATTTCAAAGTGATAGAAAAGTTGCAAAAATAAAATAGTACAAAGAATGCCTGTATATTCTTTGTCTGCTGTTAACATTTAACCCTTAAGCTTTATGATTTGTGCATGTTCCCTGCCTGACCCTCCACTTCCTTGCGATTCCTACACACACACACACACACACAGACTTGTTTCCTGATCCATTTAAGGGTAAGTTACATACATC